TGGCCTGCTGTGTTCATCCAGCTCTACACCTTGTTATCTCAGATTCTCCAGCATCGGCAGTTCCTACTATTTCTGAGTGATATTTAAACAGCCTCAGGAAAAGGCAGTCTCTCAGGGTGGTACCAGAGTTAGTTTTTTGAGCATTTTCTTTGGGAAATGAGTTTGGTTGCTGATGATGCAGCATGAAGATTTAAAAGCTCCCTGCTTAATCTCCCTCACCAGCTTTTGAAAGCTCAAAGAGTAGAAAGCTGAGTTAGAAGTATTACTACCTGTACCTGAGAGAACTGAAAAAGGTGATGCTGAACAATGCTCCCGGAAAAGAAACCAAGGAGTCCAAATCTATGCCTGTGAAACATGCATTGTAATCTGGCCAGTTGTATTTTTTTTATTATCCCTTACCTGTGTGTGTTTGTCTTTTTTGTGAATGGGTGACTGAATGCAAATGTTTTGGGTTAAAAGTGTTGACCTTAATTAGATTACCTTGCCTAATTTCTTCTCTGCTAATGTAATTGTATATTTCATAAAGCCTTGTTTAAGATGCAAAAGTGGTGTCTGGATTTCATTGTTAGGTCTAAAATTTGTTATTCAAAAGTCTGGTTAGAAGCCATTGGAGTAACTGTTGAGGACCTTTGAAGGTTTTTACTGAGTTGCGAATACAGGGCCAGAAAGGCTTATTTGGTTTGGCTGTCTTTGTAACAGTGAGTACCTCCTCATTAGATTCTTTAATAAACTGCATATAAGCAGACAAGATTACTCTAGTTAATTGCTAACCACAGAGAAACAGGATTAGTGCAAACGTGTGTATTTTTAATTGTGATAAATCATAATGGTGGTAGACTGAAGCAACCTTTCTGGTACTTGAAATTTCACATCCATAAAATGTATTTAAATGCTATAGAAACAGCATTTGTTTTGGAGATTTCTGCCCCAGAATTGTTTCACTTTACTACATTTTGTAGTATATCTAAATTGTATTTTTGAGACTCTTAGTGTTTTGTCAGGTTGAAGAGCCATCCTTCTGCTTGCCCTGTTCCTCATGTCCACTGATCTATAGAAGTTGCTGTGCTCAGACAGTTGTTGGCAAGAAGTTGCTATTCAGAAGAATGTGAAATGTTTGTGGATAGCTGTCAGTTTAGTAAGAGACATAACCATTCCTTCACTATTGACTGCAGAATCTTGGTTAATGTGTTCACAGGAACACAACCTTGTTCTTTCTATGATAGCAATCAAAATATGCAGGATGTTTCGTCAAAGTATTCAAACTAGTAACTGACATCAAATGGATTTGTTTTGTTTGAAATTGAGTTC